TCTGTCTGTCTGTCTGTCTGTCTGTCTGTCTCTCTCAGTCTGTCTGTCTGTCCGTCCCAGTCTTGTGGACGCGTTAGCTCAGGAACACCTTCAGGTAAGCTCCTCAAATATCGCACAGAAGTCAACTTGGACTCGAGGATGAACCGATCGCTGTGACCTCATAAACACATCATATGTAAATTAGGACAATTTACCACAAATATGTGACAGGGTGAAATGATGAAGTGATGACATTTTACACAGACATGGACCTAAACTACAACTTGAGCGGTTGGTGGACGTATACAACCGTGAGACTTCAGAGTGACGCTTCAGTATGGATCCTAATGAGTTCACTAACTCAGAAATTGATATGTATAAGTTCAGAATATCTATATTTTGAGAACAAAGCAATCCTCTGTCTTATTTAAGTGAGTCCATCACAGCGCTCTATGCACCAGTGAAGTGTTCCCGTGGTGAAGTGCTGCAGGTCAGCGCTGTGGTACTCGAGGCTGCTCTCAGTCCTACTTCATACTGTTCATAGATACTGTGCAGGAATACAATGTCTCTAACACGATGTGATTCCTAGGAGCAGGAATCACAGATCACGGTTGGCAAACAATGCAACAGTTCAGCAGATTTAAAAAAGAAAAGAAAAGAAAGAAAGAAAGGGCACTGTTCTCCTCTTTGGTCACGGTCTTGACTTGGTTTCATGTGGACTCGTCACAGAAGCGCTACAGACTGCAGCATGGTGCAGGTCACCACAGCCGTCTGTAGATGAACCCAGCCAGCATCAGCAGAGAGCCAGTGGCTTCAGTAAAGGCAGAGCTGTATGAGAAGACATGTGCAGTTTGCAGGCATGTCCGTCTGGAGCAGGATCGTTCAAAAACGTTTTCTAGCCTAAACTGGAGACATCAGAATCCATTAAGAGAAGTGGTTTAACGTAAGGGTCGGGTACAGAGTATTTACTCTACGTACGCCCACTGGTTCACCAAGGAGACAGTAATGAAACAAGTACAAGAAGCTCAACATTCTGGCAACTTCGTAGGCCCTGAAAGTGTGAATCATCAGACAAAGTGACTTGGAGTAGCTCTCCCTCCATCCTTCTACTGCTCCCTCCATCCTTCTACTGCTCCCTC